AGACTGTTTTAATGTTGAATAACAGTGCTGCCAGGGCGGAAGTGGTGTAATGGCAAGTCGCACGCTTACCATGCGCGCGGTCCGGGGATCAAATCTTGGGTCATGAGTCGCCAATGTCTACCAAGCCTTCCATCTCTCCGGGTCGGTTAATTGGTGCCAGACTTGTATGTGAGGATAAAAACACTGACTTGTAAATCGGCTGGCCCCCGCAAGTCATTGTAAAGACCACAAACGCCACCACGGATGTACAAATGGAAGCACAATGCGTGCCGCATCCCCGGGCGGGATTGACCAACGGCGAATGTTTCATCCTTATGCTTTTGATACCGCTTACCGGGTTCTACAAAATTTGAGTTTTGTCACAAATCTTCACTGAGAACTTAAAATATAAGAAATAAGTCTTGTTGGTGCATTTTATGGGGTTTGTGGGGTTTTTTCGACGAAACTTGGTAAACAGTCCTGGGTTCCTTTGGGCCAGTTGTTGGGGGAATCTGAAGCCCACATTATAAATTTCGAGATTGGAGATTTCCGGAAATACTAAAACTGATCTAAATTTAAACATTACAAAAGCCCCGTTGATACTATAAGTTTTTGGGAAGAGGGAGTCGCAGTTTTCTTTTTAAGGTACGGAGTTCCGGGTTCTAAATGATCGTACCTCTCGTGGGATTTGTTCTTTCGCGAACAAATGCCGCATGGAAGGAGTCCTGAATGTTCGTTTGGAAAACATCCTTTTTGGCACGGCAGCGCCAATCCTTTCAAACCATTGGGCTTCTTTGCACTATGTTTCAGTTCTAGAACATCAGGATTCCTCTGGTACGCTTTTTTGAGTTAAAGGAAGCGATCACGATGGAGAAGGAGAGCATCGGGTAAGCATATGCAACACACGAAGCAGCTACTTGGCTGCCAAGAAAGGAAGTGTGACGGGCACCCCCCAGGAGACCCGTCGCGCGGCAAGAAGGCAGAGTCGGCGGACGAGTTGCAGCGCGTGGTGTGAGATGTGGGACGTGCAGTGGGACACTCTATTTAACTCGACGCAAAATCCATATAGTGGGCGCGCGACTCGCCCGCTGACTTTGCCTTCTTTCCGCGCGACGGGCCTCCTGGGGGTACCCAAGTGTGACGCTTTCACTACGAGGTTTGCGCTAGTTGCTGAGCAGGACTTCGAAAGCGCTCCGCCCCCAAAAGCGATCCGCCCACCAGCTTACATTGGATTTGGACGAGCTGCGCGGCTAGTAGTGGCGCAAATGGTGCATCTCGATCAAAGCCTCATTTGGCAATGGTGTCATCAAACACGTTGCGATGAACCCTTCATAACTCCACTTTCCGAGCTGTTACCTATGGATGAGTGAAAAACGACGGCTAAAATGGGGTCCCGTTTCGCGTTTTCTTGACGGATTTTTCTGGTTTTTTTTTGCCACTGACGTACCACAGAGCTCCACCTTGTCACAATGAGCCCTTCTCGGATTTCCGCAATCGCTGTCTTTAAAGGTGTGGTGCTAAGAGCCCTGCTCCGAGATAGGCCGCGTGCTCGTCTTTTGCTAAATCGCAGAAAGTGCGTCGACTCCTCGTTGTTGTAGCCTGCGAAAACCAGCCAGTACGAACCTCGTGGTGTTGTGCTGAAAGAATAGGCGCTTAATCTTGATACAGTTACATTTAAACGTCATCTACTCAACACGTCGTCATTCTCCTCACGGTCAACATGCTCAAAATAACACGCCCTAAGAGGAGACACAAAACAGAAAGGTCACTGGCGGTTTAAGTGTTTAATTTTTGCACACACTAAGGTGCTCCACAGCGATACCTTCTCTCCCAGACCTCAACTAGTGAAAATACTGTAACGCGTTCCATATTGGCCCCTGCGCTTAGGAGACCGTCTTCCAAGAACCAAATACGACCTCCCTCTCATTGGTAGATCAGACGGTTGAACCTGCTCCGACTTTTGGCGTTTTTGCTGGGGCCCTATGCTGAATGTTGGGGAGGGGATGGGGTCACCGACGGTCGACGGGCTACTTCGACTCGGTCGGTACGGTAGGAGTCATGACGCAAGTGGTGCAGCTGGTCCAGCGGCTCCGCAAAAAGGGCTGGTTTGCTTACCTCATCACTAAGCCTTGGAGAGAGGACGGATATGCGCTTTCTCGCAGTTCCTTCCTCTATTAAAAGCGTAGGCTTGAGGTAAGCACCAAATTGGGGCGGTTTTGAGGACCGAGTTGAAGCAGTACGTCGACCGTCGAGGACCTCATCCGCTCTTCAGCATTCAGCCAAGGCCCCAGCAGAAACGTCAAAAGGGCCGGTGTGCTTACCTCAAGCTTCAGCCCCCCCCTCTCTTCTTTCTTCTTCTTCTCTCTCTCCTCCCCCCCCTTCCTTCCTACCAAACTGAGATTGATGGAGTGAGCGGAACGGACTGTTGCACCAATTGCTCCCCCTCCCTCTATTCGTCTTAAAGGTGCCAAAAAATTAATGACTCCGTGAAAAGAATTTGTTGGTACATCTAGAGAAGATTAACGAGATCAGTTCTCTTAAGAACTCACTTCATGGGATCCGTCTTATTGAAAGTGCCCACTTAGACCTGGGATCACTCCGCAGTACATGGAAAGGCACGAAACAACAATTCGAAAGATCGATGATATTGGTACAATTATTGCATCAAATTAAAAAGTGGCAGGTAAAATAAACGTGCGAAGTCACAATTAATGGAAACTCATCAGCAAAAATATTTGGCGCAAAAATTGGCGCGAGGTTTCTTCCAAACTGCGATTTTCTTTTCCTTCGATATGTGTGCCTGATTTTAGAGATTTAGCTTTATTTTTTCAGCGACGCACTATTTGAAGTCTCTTTCGATTCAAATTCCACAATAACTGATTATAATCCAAATTTTAAACTCGTACAAAATTACAATTACGTTTTCAAGAATTACTCATATTTTGCCACAGCGTTGGCTAGATCGGTGACTTAGAGACCGCATATACCAACCAGGTCAAGGTCAATCAATGCAACCAGTCATGAAGGTAGCTCGTACGCACCCCAACCCTATAAATATATCGTTGTTGCCGCTTAAGTAGTGCAAAGTTTGTTGAGAGAATTGAAGACTTTCTTTATTCGTCGACATATTGCATATCATGGGAGGAGACTTGTTCCAAAGACAGTATGGAAGCAGAAATTATGGTATTATGGAGGGCTCGTAATTAGAATCGATACCTGAACGGATGGTTTTGGCGACATCGACCCCCTCAGATCGCATCTGCTTGTTCCTTTAATCATTGTGCAGTGTTTCATACATAATTGTTATTTATTCATGTTCGTGCATAATTAAAGTAAGCGAAGAAACGTTGGTGTACATTCAAGAGTGGTAGCTTGTGGTTAGCCAAGTTTACCTAAAGGCACGGTCTCAGGACTTCTGTCAACCGTGAAGCTGGCATTCCAGCGTGTAGTGCTGTTTAGAAGCTCTTACACATGCACGCTATTGCAACATCTCGACTTTCTGTATTTCCTTTAGTAGGCTCAGTCTTAGTACCACATAAGGCGGATGTTCTTTCATGTACACTCTCACCGTTAGTTGACAGAAGCTTCGCAACCCATAAGCAGACCCATGCATCCGCTGTCTCCGCAACAGTAGCGCTGATTGGTACATTAACTTGAGTACCTGATGTGATCATACCACAGTTTAGCCACCTTGAACGGGTGGGCCGATCAACGGATTGATTTGAGAAGGCAAGAAGTAGACCTACCATTGACCCATTGTGGACCGCAGTTCATTCTCTATCTCCGCATTTTTCTTTTTTTGTGCTCATTAATTCATAAACCATTTTGTCACGGTGACAAGAAAATTGGTTGTATAAAGCACTACGGTCCTCTACAATGTCTTAGTGTGGTCCACTATGTGCACCACGCGGTCCGTAATGGGCTTAATTGCTGTTTTCACGTGTGGGTTGATTTTTGTACTTATCATGATTTCTTGACCTCGTCCTCGACGATACTCATCCATAAAACATTCTCTGTGAACATTTTGTGTTTTTCTTTGGTTAGTAGCCAAGATAAATTTGAGTCTGGTGCTGTGCGAGTCGGGTGAGCACGCGGATCGGGAAAAATAATATTACTTATCACCTTGGGTGTTCCTCACTTTTCTAGGCTTAGCTTTGGTGAAAAAAGGAACTTCGGGGTAGCATTAGAGTAAATAAGTAATGTCAAAAGATGATCTATTAGCGCCAGGCTCTATACAAGCAGGGTGGGCACGCCCAGCTTTTCACGCATGTCAAGTGACTGCCCTCACCACCCCCCCCACCCTCCGCCTTGGAATGGCTACACTCCCCCTGGCTCACCGATTTTCCCGACTCTCTTAACAGTATAGTGAAGGGCAGCAGTCCCACTTACATATATTTCTGTTCAAATAAATGCTATTTGCCCACCCTAGTTGTATAGCACCCAGCGCCGTTTACCAGAGTCGAATTTTAATTTGTCCTTGACAAAAGATTTGGCTAGAAAGTTGTGTCCGGAGGTATTTCAACGCGTAGAACAAGAATATGACATCAAAATAGCGCGGGAATGCCTAGCACTCGCGCTAACTTCACCTCTGCGTCGGCTCCTAGGCGCAGGCTACAAACACGCCCGCCACGAACTAATGAGATATTCGTGTTCTACAGGTCAAACTACCCTTGAGTTTATGGTGTTCTGACGTCTTTTACCGCCGGCTCTTCTGGCACGAACGGCAGGCATTTTCGCGCTAAACGAATGTGATTTTCGTGTTCTGCTAGTCGAACTTCTCTTAAAGACAACATTCTAGCCTGATCCACAGATATGGACAAATTCGATTTGAAACCGGGCTAAGTTTCGAGGGGTGTGGCAGTGAAGGTTGAACAGTCTTTCTCCTACTCTTGAGCTTCTATTCAGTTTTCACTACGCAGTGTGGGGTAATGGCACGATTGTATCTGCCAGTCTTACCAGTTTTCATGCGGCCTTTGCTCATAATGTTACGTCGTCATTTGCTTTAAGGTTGCTGAGCACTAATGTTGGATATCGCTCGGACCTTTCTCTACTATGCTTTCACCTCTTATATGATGGTTCGATTTCTGAAATTTCTATTTATTATATCAAAATCTTTTATGATCCATATACTTACACCTCTTTACAATTTGGATCACCTCCGAGACTCATGGACAGGTAAATACATTTTGCCAAATATTTTCTACGGTTGCACTATACGGAGGACGTAAGCAAACCAGCCCTTTTGGGCACATCGGCTGGGACCGTATGCTGATGTTGGGAGGGGTTGATGTCCCGACGGTGGACGCCCAACTTCAACGCGGTCCTTAGAACCGCCACAATTTGGCGCTAACCTAGAACTAAGCCTTAAAGAGAGACGGGTCCGTCCCTCTCCTAGGCTTAGTCCAAGGGTGAGCAGACCGTCCTTCTGGCGAAGCTACTGGACCAGCTGCACCACTTGCGTCAGTACTCTCCTATCGTACAAACGAGTTGGATAGTAAACCGTCGACCGTTGGGACCCACTCCCCCCCCTACCTTCAGCATACGGTCCCAGCCGATGTGCAAAAGGGCTGGTTTTGCTTACGTCATTACGGAGGGGTGCCTTCAATTTACGGTCATAGAAAGCGCAGCCGCGCGTCGTTCGGCCTGACACCCAGTCCATAGGAGGATTCCGATGTCTGGTTGCGAAATGCCACACTGACGCGATCTTCTTCCATCAGTTTCGGTGTAAACTTCAGTGTAGGGATTATCTGATGTCTTGATTACGAATATGACATTCGTTTTTGGCATTACCGCTGCTGAACGCATTTTTGCCATTCTTCTTGATTCTCTCACCTGAACAGTGCCTGAGACTAGGCTCAGTAGGTAGGGACCAGGGTCGACCCTACCGTTTGTACTTTTCGGAATTTTTCACAACCCCCCTTCCAGCAAATTTCACGCCCCCCCCCCTTCACCACCCTCGCCATCATGGTGGCTGTTTCTATAGTATTTAATTCTGAGACCAGTCGACACACCTAACTCCACCCACTTTTTCCTCCAAAACGACCTTCGAGCGGATCCAGACCCTTTACGTACAGTGAAACAGAAAAATTTTCCGCTGCTCACACTACGCGCCCTAAACTCACCCAGCATTATCTATTTTTTTTTCTCACGCAACACCCAGTTTCACATGCGAATTTAAGAGGCTAGAGCGAGTACGACCCTCCCCCACCCAGAACCTCAACGAAATACGACCCCCCCCCCGTTGATACTTGTCGCAACACAGGTTGACCCTGGTAGGGACACTCCGTGGTGGGTAAGCCAGCTACCGTGCGGCCAAAACTGAAGCATGTGGGATCACACTGTGAGTGGCTTATTCATCTCGGGGCTCGTCTCTTCCGAAAGGCTTCGTCCTGATCGCGATCTTCTCAGTGAGAGGGCGCAGACGAGCGAGAAATAGATCCTGAATTGCATTCGAATCAGGGCAGCGAATATTCCCTATACGAAACTTTAACCGAATCCGGTGAAGGCAGTGTCGTAGAAAGGTGACGCCTGATGGCACCAGCGCTAAAAATGAATGCCATTAATCAGGGCATCGAATTACCCCCGTAGGACCCATAGGGCGGAGTTTCGACGGAAAATAAAATTTTGAGATTTTAGGGTTTGATGTTTGAAGAGAGCCGACTCTTTCCTATACCATTTCTTCGATTTCCGTATTTCTATTCTCAACGAATTTCATAGAAATCAGTATAGGGCTAAGCCTTACCAGGAGAGGTCATCAAGCCGGTCCGGCCATTAGCAATGAGCTGTATAACGTTGCACTCGCCTCGAGACGCTGAGCTAAAAACTGCCCCCACTATCTGCTGAACGGTTCTCTCAACGAAGCTATAAAGCAAGAAAGTGGCAGCGGTAGTGCCCCGGTCTCGCAGGCAGTAGGCACTACCGCTGCTCCTCTTGCATCTTGAGCTCAGTGTCGCGAGGCGAGTGCAAGTATATAGAGCTCATTATAAATGCCCGGAGCGGCTGAAGACCTTCCCTAGTTAGTAGATAGAAGGAACTCCAGGGCAGGCGAGTGATTTTCATATTACCTGATGCTCCTCCTCTTCCAAGGCTCAGTCTCTTGCTTCGCACCATCCACAGCGAATAGCGTCAGAAGGGAAAAAATGAATGAAATTGGTATATTAATCCTCTGTCGCTTCTGACACTCAAGCCGTAATTACAGGTGTTGCATAGCGTTAGGCGTAAGATAAAGGTGCCCTCTATATCAGTTTTGCACCTTTTTTTTTACTAATGCACACATGCACTTTATAGTGGTCACTGGAGGAACTGATGGCATAGGCAGGGCTTACATTGAAGAGTTAGCGAAAACTCGTGGCATAAAAAAGTTCTATCTTATTGGAAGAAATCTCGAGAAGCTCAATACAGTAGTGAAAGAGTTGGGTGAGTTTTTTTCATCATTTTATCTTTCTACACGTGGATCCGGTACTGGTACCGGGCAACGTGTCAAGAGAATTTCGACCTTTTGATATCCTCTTTAGAGCCTACAAGCCGTTGAACCGACTCCAAAACTTCTACGCACTCCTTTAAGGGGGTCTGGTATGACACCCTTGTATCGGCCACACATTTACACATGCATTCGTTCGTATCCGTGGGTGGGGCCTAGTTCCGAAGCAGGTGTTGCCACATTCGGGGCTATTGTGCGTAAAACACGAAAAACAACAAACGGGACATGATAAACACCAATAGACGTTGAAGAACATTTCGATACTAAGTCTTTAGGAAGCTTTTTGGAATAAAATTTTGGAGCCTCAAACTGTTCTTCAACATTTAGATACCTATGTGGCTTCGGGAGCACCATATTAAGATACCATAAAAATAAACGATTTACCGCATGATAAGCATGATTCGATTAGAAATCTGAGAGAGTTCGAGTACGTGCTATTAATCCGTCCGGCCGCGTCGCGTGCTCCGCTTTGGAGCACGATTACTTTTTCTCAGATGATGGTAAACAGGGCAACGTGAAGTTTCCCTTTCCAAATGGATGTAACTTCCTTCACTTTCAATGTTTCAGGAAGGTTCGCGCACTATTTGACTAGCAGAAATTTTTTCTTTCATGAAGCCACCAAATTTTCCTGAGCCTTCAAAACACACTTTGTTTTAACACGTTGACGACCGTGTGGTATGATGTCATACCACACCCTATCCGCCGCGTGGGACCGTGTGGCATGATGTCATACCACAGTCTTTTTTAAGCTGGTTTTCAAACATTTTGGGTAACTTATTTACGTGATGTATGCGCCATACTTAGGCATTGTTACAAAAGGCGTGGGCCCTGGAAAAAAGCTACGATTGATGGGCTATCGAGTTTTTCCAAAAATGTTTGAATAATGATCAAATCACAGGAGTCGCTAAAGTGGACAAAATAGCATAATCGGAGACCTACCACACAAGAAAGATAACAAATACACACTTCCTGAGAAAAAGGAGTTCTCGTGGGACCGTGTGACATGATGTCATGTCACAATAGCGCGGTCAAAATAATGCGCGCAGTCCCACACGCCAGACAGCGAAAAATGGCGCGGTCGTCAACGTGTTAAAGAGAAAAAGTGAGCCTCCGATAATTTTGAAGCATTATTATGAAGTGATTATTTTGAAGAATTATGAAGTGAAGTAAACACGTAAGTATTACTCCGTTCAGGAGATCGGATGTTAATGCAAATGTTGCTCTGAAAGTAGAAGTGAAATTGTTAAAACTCGGGTTATTTTCTATCCTAATAGCATTGTGATTGTCCTGCATATTCAATTGTTCTGAAGATCACCGTTGGTTTTCTTTTGCAAGATTAAAAAAGAAACCTGAGATCTCTGAGATTAGGCCTTTTCCTTTCTTTCTCTTTCTCTTCTTCGGTCTACCCTTCTAAAGCGCGATTTTTCAACTTCCAACCGGTTATAACTTTCTCAATATCTGCTGATGAGAAGCGCTGAGAATCGCTACATACTGCACGATCAGTGCTTTGAAGTATAAGGTATGTCCCCAGGAAATCTCCGCATTGAGAAGCTTCATTTTACCAGAATTTTCTAATCTGCCAAACTCTGCCCTCCCTTACACTTTGACTTGGTCTTCAAGCACTATGATACCTTTGAAAAAAAATTATTTGATCGTGCTCACCAATACGTTGAGCGTTTGAATAATAGCACTGGGGAGCGCCATCTACACTGTGATTAGTAGGCACAGTTGAATTCTTAATGCGGCCCTCCGTTCTCATGTCCTGAGACCTTCAAATTCTGCCGCTGGCTTTAGCGCTTCGCCCGCCTCCTCCCCCGCTCCCTCTCCCGTCCCCCTTTCGGATCCAGTTGTGACCCTCTCGTTGGTCTGAAACAACGGACGGTGACCCTGCTTTCCTCCTCTCCCATGTTCAATAGGACCCCCTCGCCCTTCTCCTACAACCTCTTCATTACCTTCTTACGGTCGATGATGTCAAAGTGTAAGACTTTGTTCAAGTGTGATCTAGCAAATTTTTTACTCTATGATTCTTTCCATAATGCTGACTTTCTTCCATCCAAAGTCAGAAGAAAAAACTTTGAACATTTTTCACACAATATTAAACAGTGTAGAGCGTGTTGCAGGTGAACGATATGGTGCGACATGTAAAATTGCCGTTTTTGATTTCGAAAACGACACTTACGATAAACTACCCGAGGAGCTGGAAAGTATGGACGTCGGTATTCTTAGTGAGTTTGCCCTTGAAGCTTTAAGAAAAAAAGGTAGGGTTCAACACACTCCAAAGTGCTCTTCCCAAACTTATCTAGATTCAGGTTTTAGTTACAAATAAAACCATTTTGGTTCTTCATAGCGACGATTCCACCTGCGATATAGCGCCTTTCCTTGATATTACTGGAAGATTTGAAGTTACTAAAACGGTCATATGTTTGTGAAGTTAACGCTGGAAATGGCATTTTTTCCAAGTAGTTGAGTCGCACACCCGCCGCGCATTCGACATCTGACGCGAGTCGTGGTTCCCATCCACTCCTGATTAGGCTAACGCTGTTATGTTCACGGCTGATCCCGGCTTTGTGCGCCTCTCCCTCCCATTGGACCGATTCGATCCCCCTCCACTCAAGGATTCCTCAACGCACGGTTGACCTTGGCAGTGAGCAGCATGTCCAGATTGGCGAAGTGAATCCGAAAATTCCAGCTCCGAATTCTACACCGCTGAAGTGCCAAACTGGGGAAGGAAGGAGCATTCGGGGTTGCACATTTCTTCTTGGAATGCGTCACTTATTCTACACTCATTCAGAATCATAGTGCCATTCGCGCGGATTTGGCTTGTGCAGTGAATTGCGGGGCCAGCCGACATACAGATCTGTTTTTCTATCACATTGTTCTTTTGCTATAATGTAACTGACGTCGAAGAGACGGAGTGCTGGGTTAGCCTAGGAAATTTCGAGGGACGGATCTCGTACGTGGAAATAGTGTTATTGCCTCTACACCACCTTCACTAAAGATTGATAGAAGAGTTGAAAATTACCAGTTTAGAAATTCATGCAGATCAGATCCTTCTTTCCTTGTTGTGTCTGGTATTCTATCTCCATATTATCACACTGAGCAACAAAACTAAAGACCATTGGGTCTAACGAACATTTTCCAATTGTTTCAGTCAACCTATCTTGTCAGTGTCTAATTCAAACAATCAGTTCATTGCCCAGTCCAACGGAACTCTTATCTTGCCTCATGATTTAATCCTACCAATCCCCAAGAATAGCATAGCATAAATTAGAGCACTAGAGCACAGCAGAGGGATACAGAAGGGATAGGCGTCATTGGAATACGAAGGTAGGGAGATATACGGAGGGAAAAAAAGGAGTCACTTGCCCATGACGCACACCATCAAAATTTTCGTGCAACGGGGTGCTGTTGTTGATGAAATTTTTCAGCATAAATTTCCCAGATGTCCCCTGTGAGCAAAAGCAGCCCCCCCACCGTTTTCATAGTATGAAGTCATCTACCATCACCGTCGAACGCAAGGAGGCCTACCATTATCGCTCCAGTCTGAAGCTGCTACATAATTTCTTCACTCGCTTAACTGATGGATAGCTTTCTGAAGACACTAGCTGTTACGAACAAGATCGTCTTCGACCAGATTTCAGACGACTTCGTAATGGTTTATGGTCTTTTAACGACCTCACTGAGATCGTACCGTGTACCATGTTTCCGTGGGAAAATTTTCTGATGTCGTTGGTATAGAAGGCTGTTATGTAAATTTTTGATAGAACAAAATGTGCTCTTTAATATTTAGTTGGGCTCATTCTGTTTGGATTTGGCAAAGTGTAGTTAACAGCGTTTCGAATGTGGAGGTCAATGATTCATTTTTGCCCCCCCCCCTCGCCGCTGTAGAGAAAACTGTGATGACAATTGAGGAGTCATAACGGACGGTCGGCTACAAGTGACTGCTAGGTAGTGCTGTTAACGCAATTCTAACGAGATCGACTCTTCAATATAGAAAAGGAGCGCAGCTTGATTCTACCTTTCATTTTCTATAATACGTTGTTGGCGCCGCATAGGCCAATGTCAGGCTGCGATTCCAGCGATTCGCAAGCTAGCGTTGCTTTGCAACAGCGAGTCGAGCTGTGTACCAGCGAATCGAACTTTGTACCAGCGACTAGACACTGTTCGAAAGTGGCGTTCAAAAGAACTCCACTTTTAAGGAAAACATTGATTGAAAGTGGCGGGACTTCCTTCAAACAATGGGTCCTGCCACCTCCAAACAGTGTTGAGTTGCTGGTGCACAGCTCGATTCGCTGGTGCAACGCTTGCAAAGTCCTGACATTGGCCATACCTTCTGTCGCACAGGAGTTCAGTTGCAGATTTCCTCGCTTTTGGTTGAATGGAATCAGAGGGACATTTTGGAACTATTTGCTTCTAAGACATCTCTGACGAGTGTGTTGTAATGAATCTGGTGTGGTGCATTTTTTTCATGGGATAGATTACGCATTTGCAGTAAATTGCGCTGGCATTGCTCCAACAAAAGTTGGCAATTTCATGGAACTAGCAGAAGGTTATTCATCAAAGATTCTTCGTGTGAACCTGATGTCCAACATAAAGGTATGTACATATTTTGATCAATACGTCAAAGTTAATAGAAAATTTTCGATGGTAATTGGGGTGACTGTTAAGTAGCGTGTGACCACTGATACATTAACACGTTGACGACAACGCGAGTTTTGGCACTTTTGGCCACGTGGGACCACGGCGTTTTTGCGAGCGCCGCCGCCTCAGGTTGTTCAAGCAAATTTTGAGTGATAAAAACATAAATAATGATCAATACAAGGCAAGATCAATATATTGTAATGAGCACAACCTACTCGGAGGAACAGTAGCGGAATTTCTATTGAAAGACATGGAATAACAGTGAAAAAGTGATGTTCTTTAGAACAAGCTGCAATAAACTTCAAAGGCAATTTTGAGTTGATTATTTTAATCAAAACACATATATTGTCATCTCTAAGCTACCGTATCTACTTCTACTACTATTTAAACCTTCACATTCATAGGAAGAAAAAGTAAACGAAAAATTTATTAGGCTCAAGATTTCGTATGGTTCAGAAATCCTCCTCCAAATTGAAGCATACGTGACCATTCTATGAACCACTATGTTGTTAGCTAGGTCAAGGTCTCCTACATTCAATAATTACAAGAAACTTCTAGAAGAACCAGGCGTGCGCGAAAAAAATTAGTGTAATGGGTGCGGGGGATATATCCCCCGCATGGTCCGACACGGCCTGCAATGCGCGGGATATATATCCCCCGCGTTGTCGTCAATGTGAATTTGTTGAAATTTCAATTTAAAATGCATTCGTCAACAAGCCAACAACCAACAGCAGCTCAGCACGCTATGAACAACCAACGCTGCGTCTCTTATCACATTTACCAGGGCGCGCGTTTTTGTTGGTTTTTTGGCCACATTGGAACGGACGCGGGTGTTAACTTAGTTGGGGCGGGGGCCACGCGGCGGCGCGGCAGTCGTGCTCGCCTGGCATGTTCGGAATCGTGGCCAGCGGGTGTGTAGGCAGTCTAGGGGGGTGGAGTGGGGGCAGTCACTTGACATGCGTGAAAAGCTGGAATGTTCGAGTTTACACTGTCTTACTCGAGAGCCCAGGTGAGCAGACTGAAGCGCCGCCGCGTGCCCCCCCCCCCCAAACTAAGTTAGCACCCGGACGCGATTTTACGGGTGAGGCTGCCTTGCTCCGTTTTATTAGATAAATATAGAAAAGTATCTCATACAACAGAACTCAGCATGAAAAAACGTCGTTCAAGATCTATCCGGTTCAATTTAGCGAGAATAAGAGTCCCTTCGCCTTAGATCTTCCCAAGGGCTATAAATAATGAAGAAATAGAAGGAGTAAATGAGAGAGTAATCTGGTGCACATAGCAAACCGCAATCGGAGGGAGACGAGTTTTAAACAAGAAAGTTTCGAGGAGCCCCAAGTATTAATTTGCTCACATCTGCGCATTTTCGGTGTTCACGTTGACGACATCGCGAAAAAAGCAGCAGCGGCATGCATTCTACTTCCATCTATACCCTCGTAGTGGCATTTGAATGCGATGTGGCCTACACAATGACTTGCGGGGCCAGCCGATGTACAAGTCAGTATTTTTATACTCCCAGACAAGTCTGGTACCAACTAACCGATCTAGGAGGGACGATAGTCTTGGGTGACACGGACAACGCACGACCCAGGATTCGATCCCTGAACGACACGCGCGTGGCAAGCGAGGCCACTTGCCACTACACTACTTCAGCCCCATTTTGGATATTAAGTCCACTATAATATGAATTTCAAGAAGTAGTTTCAGAAATGATGAAAGCATCGAGCTCATTTAGAGAATTAACAGTAACATTTCGTCTAACAGAGCGCAAAAATGTCAAAAAAGAACAAACACTATCAACTTTTGATGTAAATGACATAAAAAGTATTATATTTTTCGGTTAATCCATTTCAAAATACACATCCTGCTATCCACAGAGTTTTGCATTTACTTCTGCTATAATCTTTTATTTATGTGAATGTTCATGAAGGGGAAGGAAAACTGAGAATGAATTGAACTGAAAAAAAAACTATAAATTTCAGAAAATGCAATTCGAAAATGCCGCTTGGTAATGCCAACTGTGTCCATATGAGGGAGGGAATTTTCAAGGCCGATGTCAGACTTTGCGAATCGCGCGATTCGCTAGCGTCCGCGGTCGCGTTGCGGTACCAGCCAATTGAGTGATTCGCTGGCCGCGACGCGACCGCAGACGCTAGTGAATCGCGCGATTCGCAAAGCTTGACATCGACCTAAGGGCTTAGCAATCGGTGCATGGCCAGGCAAGACGGACCGTATCAGACGTCCCGCATCGTTTGCGCATGGCTCAGAATCCTTACCAGGGAAGGTCATCAAGCCAGTCCGGCCATTTGTAACGCTATAAACGCTTGCATTCGCCTCGAGACGCTGAGCTCAAAACTGTCTCCCCGATCTGCTAAACGATTTTTTGGACGGAGTTAGAAAGCAGGGAAGCGCAGCAGTAGTGCCCTATCTCGCAGAGGTTGTGGGAGCTGCTTGGAAACTCTTCACACAGACAAGTAATGGCAGGTATTGTTAAATTAATTAATGAGATAAATGTAGGCTCCTCAAAAAACCGTCCAACCACCCCTTGCCTGCGAGACCGGGGCACTACCGTTGCGCTTTCTAGCTTTATAACTCCGTTCAAGGAACCGTTTAGCAGATATTTAGGCAGTTTTGAGCTCAGCGTTTCGAGGCGAGTGCAACGGTGTGCAGCTCACTGCTAATGGCCGGACCGACCTGATGAACTTCCTGGTTAGATATAGTGCAGCAGGAAACTGCACCATGGCGCAGTGTATCCGCAACAAATGAGCAACAGTCATAGAAACAAGCATCCGACGGGACCTACAAGAGCAGCTAAATCTGTGTGGACGTGAGCTGTGTAAATCAGAAACAGTCAAATAGATAGCCCTGCGGAAAACAACACACTTCAATTGGCGCAACTTTAATGGGATCGTTTATTGCCTCAAGACAGGGAATTGGAAGTGCTGCCGACCCTACGAATGCGCGGGATCAAAGGAATCTTGCGCGGAAAATTTTTGCACTCTTTCCTAACATGAATATGTCAGTTGTGAACACTGGAAATAGCACACAAGGTTTCACGCATGAAGATTCGGTTTCTGAAGAGAAACAAACGTACAAAAACTACACGTTATGGACCATCGAAGGAACAGGAGGCAGAGCCAGGCGAGGCATGGAAAGAAGACGGCGTTTGGCCGGATACGTACCAGGCGACGCAATGAGAGAATCGGGTTAAAGCGCGCGATTTCGGAGAGTGGAGACAAATCGATCGATGGAATAGGATGGAGTAGAAGTGTAAGATGTGAATGCAACGAAGCAGAAGACCAGAAAGAGCTTCTAGTGAATGCACTCCAAGAACCAAGTTTGAGCATCCCCGTCGCCAGCATTCGTGAAAGACGTCCGTGGGCCATTCGAATGCGTAGCAGCCTTTTCGAGTTTTCTTCTAATCAAAACGAAAGCAATACTTCAGTTCTTTTCACTACTATCGTGGATAGTGAGTCTCAAGCCAGTGATTTATGGCTGAAATAGAATCATGATTTTTCCGCGCAGGGTTCCTTTAACGCGATGGATAAAAAGAAGGAGGTCGGATTAATGGCTTGCTTTTTTAACTTACGGATTAGCGAATCGAGAAGTTCTAAAATGCAACTCACAACAGCGACCAAAAAGCAATGCGGCCTTTGATGCGCGGAGAAGCATTGAGGCTTCGATCCCAAAACTTCTAAAAATGCATATGTAACATCAACTCACCTTTGTAGAATTGGCGTCCGAATAAGGAACACCAATTAGTTTTGTGATGGTATGGACTTCTACCATGTAACAGTGCAGCAACTCAGATAGTTTGCCTTACAAGGAAAGCTCTTCTTGCCTTCATGGCCATTCAAGATATAATGTATATTCCTATATGCGTTTAAATTTTATTTCAAATCTGCCCTACAAACCTGATAAACGATTCTCTGCATAGACTTATGAAGCCGCAAAGCGCAGCGACAATGAGGCAGGTTCATGGGCAAGGACTTATGAAATCGTTCCTTTCCCGGTTTACATATAAGATTTCTTACTTATAACATTTCAAAGTACTTTCATAAACGTCTATAGCTTTCCTATAGCTACCCGTAAAATAAATTTTCGATGAACACTTGGCTTCACTTGCGCATGAGTATTAGGAATCATGGGCAAGTGGTGCCCAAACTTCATCGCAAAATCATTATACCGGTAGGTATAGATAAGCAATGGTAAAAAAAACGAGTGGTGAAACCCTTTGGTAATCGTTATGATGCAAGCAAGGTGTTAAACTCCTGAAGTATCCGATCTCACGACTCCCTACTTGAGAGTCGGGACGCGTTCTTTCGCTTCATAAATTTGTTCGAAAAATGGTTGAACAGATTTGATGCCTTCCCTTGTCAGCCCTGTTCATATTTTTTGCAGTCAACATACGTGCTACGTCCCCCTCGTGTTGCAGCTAGCTTTTGACAGCCTTTTTGGCAATTAAAGTAGTCATCAGAGCTTTACCACATACCAGTCGTTCAAACTTTGCGTCACCCATGACGAACCATTACGTTTTATCTGTCACCTGTCGAAGCGACTCGGACTAATTTCTTTATCAATTATTTTCAGATGATTGAATTAATTCTTCCCGGCATGATCAGAAGAAACAGAGGATGTATTGTTAATGTGTCATCAATGACGGTTTGTTTTTCACATTTTGAAACTTCATACAAACCAATTTTTTGCAAATTTTAAAGCTGCTGTGGTTATCAATGACAAGGATAGGGCATCGATTAGAATCATACATCAGCTACATATTACCCGAATGGTAACATTTGCACTACATGAAAACCGACACAAAAGCACTATTTACCCTTTATTGTCCCTCTTCAAGAACTGAGCCGGACTTCAATCGAAATTTGTCGATGAATAGGGATTTGGCTTGAAAGCTGTCGCCGGGGGTATTCAAAGCAGTAGTAAACGATCATCACATCGGTTCAGCGCGAAAACGCCTGGCTCTCACGCCACAGGCGTCGGCGCTATCACATTAATTTAGCGCCGTTTCCCGTAGCGCAGGCAACAGGCTCACTTGCAGCGAGCTAATTTGATATTAATGTTCGTTGGAACTACCTCCGGAGATACCTTTCTAGCAAATCAGTGTTGGACAAATTTCGATAAACACGACCAATTTTTTGAGGAGTGGGCCAGTAAAGGGTAAATAGTGTCAACAAGAAATGTTCATACTCTTCTGACAGGGCGCTTCCATCCTATTATATACTTAAATTCATAGAAAAAATAATTGGAGCAGTAACACCGTTGTCTGATCACGCTCCCTTTCACTGGACGCTACATCTTGTTCTTGATAAACCACTTTGAGCCATCGCACTATTGAACTATGAATATTTGTGGTCGTGAAAAAGGCAAATTACAGTACACTCTAATCTCAAGCGCAACAACACAAACAGAAACGGCGCGAGTGTTTGAAAGCGAGTAAAAGAAGTACTAGATTGAACCGAAATACTACAGGGTGTTGCAAACTGGTGGACTTAAACTTTGATTTTAATTTCGAAGTATACTTTCACAAATGAAATTTGATTATGAATCTTATTTGATTATGACTTACTAAAAATATTAGGCAGATGTAATAATTTGTGAACTGTCTGATTCGCTAGCGAATCGCTGGATTCAAGCGTTGCGCCAGCGAATCGAACGTTGCAATAGCGAATCAAAATTTGCGCCAGCGAATCGACCGATGCACCAGCTAGTCGTACGATGTACCAGCGACTCAACATGGTTTGAGAGTGGCAGGACCCAACGTTCAAAGAAAGTCCACTTCAAAGGACCACACTGTTTGAAAGTGGCGGGCCTTCTTTTAAACTTTGGGTCCCGCCACTTTAAACAGTGTCGAGTCGCTGGTACATCGTTCCACTCGCTGGTGCATTGGTGGATTCACTAGCGCAAAGTTCGATTCGCTGGTGCAACGCTCAGGTCCAAGGATTCGCTAGCGAATTGCTCGATGGCTCCTTCACCTTTCACTTAAAGCAACAGTTCAGGGAGGGTCCGAAAATTTCAATGCCACTACTACTGAGGGATACATGAGCCCTAGTGAAGAACATAAGCAGTGGAAATAATAAACGAACTTACCTCAGAAACTCAAAAACAGGGTGGAAAGTCCCTCAAACATGGGTGTTCTTGGGGATTTCCCCAATCCCGCCCCCTTGCCGGCCGTCATTGGACGCGTCGGCAATCGTGCTCGTTTCGGGACCACAGGGAAAATTAATTGAAAAATGGAGCGCGTTTACAGCGGGCACGTTCAGACAACTCGTCTTTATCCATTGCTGAGCGGCAGAAGGAAATAACCCTTTTAAACGCCTCCCCGACTGGAAGTTTTTTTTCCAATTTTTCAAACATTAATCGTCTGGTTTCATCTACAACTTCTTATTGAAGTTTTTTCCCGCGAAACCGTTCCTGCATGTTGCTTTAAAAGAATCTCCCACGGACCATGGACCAGCGGGCGGGATCGGCAGTTTCTGTGACGAAATGCATGGTAGGTACGGATTTACGTGTCGAACGCACGAACGTGAACAGGATACACTTCGAACCTTCCCATGAACGTGGATCCACGCTATCCATGCATTTGTCGCACAACCACTTCTGTCCCGCCCACTGGTCCATGGTCCGTGGAAGATTCCATTAATTCTTCATAATGTTGACCCTCGCTCTGCATATGCACGTTGGTGATGATCAATAATTCATTCCCAGGAATTCGCTTGCCATGTTTGAGACAGTCCATTGGGATGTCTAATAGGGCTGGTAGATATTAGCCGTTGTTAAAGGAATCTTGCGCGAAAATTTCTTGCAACTCTTTCCTAACATGAATATGTCAGTTGTGATCACTGGAAATAGCACACTAATTTCACGCATGAAGATTCGGTTTCTGAAGAAAAACAAACGTATAAAACCATACGTTATGGACCATCGAAGGACCAGGAGGCAGAGCCAGGCGAGGCATGGAAAGAAGACGGCGTTCGGCCGCTACGTACAGGCGACGCAATGAGAGAATCGGGTTAACGCCTAGCGATTTCGGAGAGTGGAGACAAATCGATTGATGGAATAGGATGGAGTAGAAGTGTATGCTGTGAACGCAACGAAGCAGAAGGCCAGAAAGAGCTTCTAGTGAATGCACTCCAAAAACCAAGTTTGAGCGTCCCCGTCGCCAGCATTCGTGAAAGACGTCCGTGGGCAATTCGAACGCGTAGCAGCCTTTTCGAGTTTTCGAATTTCTAATCAAAACGAAAGCAGTACTTCAGATCTTTCCACTATTATCGTGGATAATGAGTTTCAAGCCAGTGATTTATGGCTGAAATAGAATCATGATTTTTCCGCGCAAGATTCCTTTAATCACGAAGGACGACTCTATGAAAAGGCACAGCATCTCCAATCCGGTATGGTTTGAAATGAAGATGTTTCAGCAGGAAAACCCTACCTGTTTTAGCCGGAAGCGGTGTTGGAATCAAGAATCATGTTCATGGGAACAACGCAGTAAACTTTCTTGGACCATGGGTTCATACGCTTTTCGAAGAGGCTTGCTGGATCTTCCGGCAAGATTCTTCCAGCTAGATTTTTCGGGGAGCGGTACACCAAACAATTGCCTGACTTCGTTAGATATGACTGATAGCCTTTCAGTTCACCGGGCCCGAAAGCGACGAATTCTACTGGAAGAGCCCTTCCTAAGAGGAAGCTCTGTTCTATGAGATTCCCATTTTTGAAGTTTCCTGAAACAATGCTCTCGCAATCCTGGAGTGAAATCGGTGAACACTTCCAGCGTACCGCAGGCGAAGTGCCTATCAGACTTCTGGGGAACTACGTCGAAGCCGAAGGGATCATTTTGAGAACCGCTAATATTCTTCACATTATCACATTTGTAACAAGTAATATTCATAGTCAAATCTGATTCAACACGCTCATTTCAAAATGAAGTTTGAAGCACAAACAACAAGTACGCCAGTAATTTTGTTCCACCCTGTAGAACATAAACTGCTACATCGAAGCATAAAAACTGAGCATGAAGTAATACAAGGAGTCTAGTCAAAACAGAGGAAAGTAAAGTGCAGAATTGCAGTGCAGAATTTTTCAGGGTTGGCGTCCATTGCCATATCTCAGCACTTATCCAGCCAGCAAGGCGGCTATTTCATTTTTCTCGGATTCTCTCAGTGACGAGTTCCGCCACACAAATGTTCGCATACAGGTGAGATATTCTTCTGGCGAACATATTGAACGTATTCGCTGCTGATTTACTGCGTTTCCAGTGTCTAGTTCCGCTGTTGGTAGCTACAAAAGTTGCTTCATATGAGACCAATGAAGCAAACAACGTTTTTGTCGTTACTCCCGAACATTATGCAAAGCAAGCTGTTCGTGCAATAGGCAGATTTGAAATTCTCACGGGATGCTTCCAACACGACATGCAGGTGAGCGATGTACTTCAATCCGTCGCGAGTCGATTCGGAGTTTTCCCAACGAACTATAGTGCCCTTCAAATGTAGGCCACCTACTGGCTTTTCATATTTTGATTTTAATAATTTTTTTGCCTTTCTGTTCCATGCATCCAGCATAATGCACACTATCGATATCGACAACCAACTGTCAACGCACTAGAAGCTGTCCGATGCCTCTCTTGTAGTACTCCACCGAGTTCTGATCGAAGAAAGACCAGATGTCGATTTCGAAATCATAATGGCTAGGATGAGATTTAAAGGAGTCCTTCGCAAAAAAAATTTGTGTTCTATTCCAACGTGAATGTATCAGTTGTGATCACTGGAAACAGCACGCAAAGTTTCACACATGAAGATTCAGTTTCTGAAGAGAAACAAACTTACAAAAATCACACTTTATGGACAATCGAAGGTGGAAGGTGCAGAGCCAAGGTGGGACATGAAAAGAAGCTCGCCTTGGTGGACTACGTATCAGGCGACGCAGTAGAAATGTTAGATGTAGTCAAAAGGCTAGAGAGATGCTGAAAGCACTACAATAACTAACTGGAAGCATTCCCGTCGCCAGTATTTGTGACAGATGTGCGGCGGTGCATTGAACGCGTGGCAGCTCTTTTTTTAATTTTCTACCAAAACAAATACAATTTTCTGTTCTTTTCATTCTGATCGTGGACGATGAGTCTCAAGCAGATGATTTATGGCTGAAACAGAATCATTAGAATATTCCGTGAAGAATTCCTTCAATGATAGGAGAAGGTCTGGAAAGGGAGCAGGTGGACACAGAGTCAACCCTGCGTTGCGCAGTTCGCAACAGCACGTTGAGAGATCCTCAACGCACGCTGTATGGGCGGAGACACAGACGGCTCGAGCGTGCGAGTGTGAATGTTCGCGCGAGAGAACGTGTCTAATCGGGCGAAGCGCAACGTGGCCGTTGAGAACTGCGCAACGCAGGGTTGACTCTGGGTGGACATCCTTTGGCACGGTGTCAGGGCTATAGGTGATACGGAAGAACTGTCCCTTTGAAAGTCCCAAAATTTTCCTGGATTTTTTTCAGCAAGAAGTGGTCCAACTTTGTCATAAAAAGCTAACTTGGTCTTGCTTTTCTTTCGCATCAAAAGCGTTGCAACCGAGCTGTGGACAGTAGACTTCCGCGTTGACTGCGACATTTATAAAGGGGGTTTCCAGAGCTAAACTCCTCTCGTATTCTCCAGAAATCCGAGAAGGCCCTAGTTGGATGAGAGTGATCTTTAACAGTCAGAACTCCTGAACCGTTTAAGCTGGACCATCGCTGCTTATTTATTTGTTAGCACATTGTACCGCCGCCTCATCTTCGGCAAATGTAATCGATGGTCAATCGAAGAATCCATTGTAAGTCGACTTGTGACGATGCCAGATCTTGTTTGGAACTTATTCGAGCTCTGGGCATGTGGAATCCAAGCTCTGTATTTTCGGATCTTCACAAGCCTTTGGAGATGCCTCAGTGATGTCTCCCTCGCATCAGAATTGCGCTGACAATTGATCGATAGCCTATCCAGATGCCTTTTTAACAGCGTCAGGTAGAGCATCGTGATTGCCAGTCTCCCGACCTAAACTTGGCGGCCACTTTCGCAGTTTGCTTTTTAAAGGCATTACTTCAAAAAGCACTCCCCATATTCGGAGCCGAGTCCTGGCTTTCAATTTTGAAGTGATAAAGTGTCAACAGTCGACAAGCCCTGGATTGATGTATTAATCTTTGGGAGAAAAAAACTTCGAGACTTGCAACATGTACCAGCTGCACAACAACATGAGGGCGAGTGGTTCTTCATGGAAGGACCCGACATCCTGCATAACTAGATGCTGTTTCGTCCCAAAAGTGTTACATCACTATGAGGCTTCGACGAATGAGGAACTCGAAGCAGCGGACGACATTGCTAACAGTTGTCCGATCTTTGGAGAAGCGACGTCTATAAAGTGCCCATTAAATGGTGGGGGGGGGGGCGTACACATCAGAGGCGTCTATATTCCCTACTTCGGCTCTTCCGAACATCACGGACTAAAGAGAATGTTTGAATTTCCCAGACAAATTTCTTCACAGCCTAATATTGATAGATATTATCAACAATCTACATATGTATGCATTTCAGGTCGCGTTCGGAAGTTTAATTTCTTTCTGGGCCTTCAAGTTGATCTATGTACCTTTCGTCATGCTGGGAGTTCATAAATATCGCGTTGCCGAGTACCAGAGGAAACGCGAGATAGAACTGCAGAAGTCAGAGTAATTTCAAGCTTATTCCAGAGCATGTCCGTAATTGCAAGAGCCTGATTCTGCAAACTTTTATTGTATACAATGTTTTTAATAATGTAAGATTGTAGCTCCTTTACAGCCATGAAAAATATCTTATTTGTAGCTGCCACAGTATCTGCGAAACTCTTCTAATGTCGTAAAGCGGAATGTTGTTGATATGCTCAAGACTGATTGCATGATTGCCTTAGATTTACGAGTCATTATAGTATTGTTTGCATTTCCTTTAGTCTTTTTAGAAGTAATATCAAGTAAATAATGGTTCGTTTTACACAGTGCGTGCTATAACGTAACACCCGCGAAAGGATTGCACGGCTGTTGACTTAATAGAAAAATAAAGCATTTGAATCGCGTGCCACTCATGTTGTCTTCAAAATGTTTAGCAAAACGCAAATGAAAATTGAGGCATACAACATTATCTCATGCACAGGTACGGGTGGCATCATAACGTGTGGCGGAGCATCGGGTCAGAGAGCGAATTAACACGTTGACGATATCGCGCGTTTTGTGTTTTTTGCACGGCGTGGGACAAGAGCGATTATGCGAGCGCCGCCACTGCACACTAAATCCATGCATTTTGAGCTGTAAAACGCAATACTCAGATGCGGTGAAGTCCTCTTCTTATTCTTTAGCGTTTGTCCCACCCTGTGGCGGGGTCCACTTTCCTGGTGTTACGACGCCACTTTTCCCGATTATGTGCCTGATCGGGGTGAAGGCCAACTAATTTCAAATCCTCATGCAACGTATCAAGCCATCGTTGCTTCGGGTGTCCTCTTGGCCACTTTCCTAGCACGTTAAAGTCTAGACCGATCTTAAGGACACTCTCGTCATTAGCGCAAAGGACGTGACCGTACCACCTCAGGCGAGCTTCGCGCATCTTATCAGCGATGGGAGCTACACCGAACCGCTTTCTGATGGTACCGTTTCGAATTCGGTCTAAACGGGTAACCCCGGCAGACCAGCGCAGCATTTTTGTCTACATTACACTGAGACGAGCCTCAACCTCTTTAGTCACGGGCCAGCACTCTGCTTCGTAAATGGCGACTGGTCGGATGACGGTTCTGTAGATCTTAGATTTCAGCCGCTCTAGTATTTTCTTATCGCAGAGAACGCCGGTCATCGAGCGCCACTTGGACCAAGCTGCACTCACCCGGGAGTTTACGGACCAAGCTGCACTCACCCGGTTTACTTCAGAGATCAGACTGCCGTCGGACGCGATTGCCGACCCAAGATGCTTGAGCGATGTTGTACGCGTGAGCTCAGTGCCACTGATCTTAATTGTGCCTGACTCACTCAACTCGGTGGTCAAGTACCCAGTCTTCTTCACATTCAACCTGAGCCCAAACATAGCCAGACGGTCGGACCAGATTTGCACCTGTTGCTCGAGCAGATGCTTGTCATCACATGCGAGCATCACGTCATCAGCATAAAGAAGCGTCCATGGAGCGGGCTTCTGAAGATCACGCGAAATGGCATCCATAACGACAATGAATAAGAGTGGGGAAAGCGCCGTGCCCTGGTGCACACCGACCGAGATGGGATTCCATCAAAGTACCTGCCACCGTTTGCGCCCGACTCCTTGAGTTCGAGTAAAGTATGCGCACCCACTCAATGAGCTCTTCAGGAACGTTGTGCGAGAGCAGGCGGATTGGACGGTAGCTCGTACAGTCAGCAGGGCTGCCTTTCTTCTTCCAGATCGGAATCGTTGTGCTCTGTTGCCAACTCTCAGGCACCTTTCTTTCTGCTACGATCTGGTTGAAAAACTTGGTCAACCATTTGGTAGGACACTAGCATTTTGACTTCCATATGTCGGCCGCCAAATCATCGGGACCTGTAGCCTTTCCTGACTTCATCTTCTTCAGAGCCCTTTCCGTTTCCTCCATGGTTTTTCTCAGCACAGGAACTTGCACTGGTGGGACATAAGGGACTGCTGGATAGGCAAATTCTACGGCTGAGAAGTTCTCGAAGTAATCATGCCATCGCTTCACTGCTCTCTTGCGGTCCATCAGAAGGTTACCATTTTCGTCGTTGATGCCGAAAAACTTCTCGATATCCTCGGATTGGCGATGGCGGGCTTTGGCAAGACGATAAACATAGCGTTCACGATCGCGTGTCTCGAGCTTCTCGCTAACATCGGCAAAGTGGGCAGCTTTTGCGGCAACAACGGCCTTCTTTCTCGCATTCTTAGCTGCCTGATAACTTCGCCAGTTGTCGACAGTCTTATCGCCAAAAACTACGTGGTATAGCCTCTTCTTCTCACGTACTTTTTCTTTAACATCGTCCGTTCATAGCCACGCTTGCTTGTCGATCTTCCGTCGCCCAGGTTTTGTTGTGCCGAGTTCAGAACGGGCAGAGCGGATCATCGCCTCGGCAGCACTTTTCAAAGTTTCATTAACAGTAGTGTCTGCCGGCAACTGAATGTTGGATATCACGACCGCTCCTTCTCTTTTAAACGCCACCACTTGATTCTCGCTGGTCCACACCGCTCGGTTTGTTTCAATTTCGGAGGAGCGATCTTCAGTGTGCAAATCAGCGGTCGATGTTGCGTGGTGACAGTTTCATACGGCACCGCCTTTGCGTCTGTTACGAGCCCTCGATCGCGTTGCCTGACGGAGGCACTGTCGATTTGCGTTCTGTTAGTACCGCTATAGAAAGTGATGAGGTGGGAGTCACGTTTCCGGAAATTCGTATTCACTATGGTGAGATCGTGCGAATTTGCGTACTTTCTAATTTGCGTAATTCGTCCGCCATCGTTGTTACGTGACCCATATCCAAATCCACCATGACAGTTGTACCCGTCTTTCGCAGTGCCGACGTGACCGTTGAAGTCACCTGCGACGATAACAGCCTCTTCTGACGGTACACTCGCGGTCTTTTCATCCAGCAAGGTCCAGAACTCGTCCTTGGCTCGCTCAGAGCAGCCAGTCTGCGGAGCATATGCAGAAAACAAAGAAAAAAAAGTGGTATCGCTTATGTTCGATAACGGCAACAATCTTCATTAGACGGTCGTCATAACGATCAACGCTTACGATCGAGTCACGGAAGCGGTCAGAAACAATTACTCCGACCTCTCTGGTCGTTCTAGGACCGCCACAAAGAAGGGCTTTAAAGCCTCGTCCAATATCTCTCGATCTACAGCAGAACCACCTCGTTTCCTGCATGGCACAGAAATCAATCCGTCGGCGCTCTAGAGCTTCTTTTTACTCGTACGAGCGCCCCGTCAACGTGCCAAGATTTAAGGTCGCAACGCGAATCTTCCGTGCGTTGCAGGACTTGTGGACTAGCTCAGTTGCCCCCCGACGCCGTCCTTGCGTCGGAGACCCTCGCATACTTTTCACACTCGCCGGGCTTTGCGAGTGTGCGTCGGCTCCCGCGGACACCGTAGCTTTATCTCGGAAATCACATGACGTCATTAACCATGAAGATGTGACGTGGATATTCGTAGGCCGGCCTGTCACGGTGGCCCGTCGCCTACATTCGAATGTCCGCGATCAGCTCAGCCCACAAAAGTGAGCAGTTCCAAGTGGCACCACTTGGAGAAGCGGACCCCACCACCTTAGATGCGGTGAAGTGTTTTCAATAATTTCCGATCTCTCTAGCCTACAGGAGTTACAGCAATGGAAGTTTGTCCAAAATGACGTGTGAAGGCCATGAAAAGAGAAATTTTACTGTTTCCCTTTAGTGGCTCCAAATTAATATGGACGTCGTTATTTCAGTAAAAACACATATAGTAGCGGTCAAAAGTCTTCGCCGAAATTGTTTTTCGACTGTAACTTTTTTTCCGCTGAATCAGATCAATTCAAATTAATATGTTTTAGAGATAGTCCTACTTCACTTAAACGGCATATTTGTTTCGGATTGAGAAAGAATTAAGAATGGAAAAAGTCACTTCACTAGAAATTCTCGCGTATGAGCAAATTCCAAGTAGGTTTCAAATTACTCTAGCAAGCTTACAATTCAACAAAACAATCTTACGCATGATGAATAACACTGGGCAGGTCCAATACTTTGTTAATGATCTTCTGAGTTCGCTGAAAAACTAACGAAGCCTAAGTAAGGAATCAGTCATTGAATGCACTGTCTACTAGGGCAGCTCCCTCCACTTCTCTTGAAATTTGAAGAGTTTCTCGCCCATATTCCCGGCTCTTATTTCCAACAGAGGTATCCCTACTCTTTCCCTTAATGTTTCGATGGCGCTCGGGACATTGGTGTGAATTGTTCTCTTCGTTGAAAGCGCGCCACGCTGTCGAAACCAATCCTTCACAGTGAAGGTGCGATGCTTTTGGTCACTATATAGCTAGAAGGCGAACTCAGTCACGTACGTTTTCATACGAGCGGGTGCGAAACTCCTTCTAGAATCTATCTGATACGTCGGCATTCACCACTTTTCTAATCCTATGCAGTTGTAAAACTTCTTTCACGGACTACCACACGCGAGCCTCTGCCACGTTTTACATACGGCAGTTAATTCCTTGGATCGAAACGTTTCTCCTCAGGACCGCACACATTCCTATTTCAGTCGCCGGCAAACATCTTGAATTTACTCTCGTTGGTCGCAGGACGCGTAGTAGCCCTATGGGGATCCCCACTTTAGATGTGCGTAAGCACATTTCGTCCCCGACCAGTTCACCGCCGACTAACTTCGAGTATTCGCAATCATGTGAAGGGAGCGTATACAATTGGGTTCTAGAAGGAGTTCTTATCCACATGTATGACAGTTGCCCGCAACTGAGCTCGCCTTCTAGCACTAGTGCGACCAAAAGCATTACACCTTGACTGTAAAGGAGTGGCTTCGCCAGCATGACGCGCTTTCAACGAAAGGAACAATTCACACCAATGTCCCGAGCGCCATCGAAACATTATGGGAAAGGTAGGGATACTTTTGGTGGAAATAAGAGTCGGAAATATGGGCGAGAAACTCGTAAAATTTCAAAGAAGTGGAGGAAGCCCCTAGTAGACAGTGCATTCAATGACTGG